GACTTCTATATAAGTACCTAGGTCACGAACTCAAAAATGAGTATTAAAAAAGTGGTTGACCTGAGTAAACGTTGCGTGATTAGACTGCCTGTTAATTTGATTTTTTCAACGGTAGTTGGGTATACTATTCTATATTATAGGTATTTTAAATATTTATTGTAGGTTATAAATGTCGTGGTGGCCCGAAGGTTAAAGACGCCCGCTTCTCATGCATGAGGGCGCGGTTTCGGAACCTACCAGCGGCAAGTACCAATGTGACGATTTCCGAGTTATATGTACTTTCTTAGATTATTTAGACACCACTGACAAACGGTGAAGGAACAACATGGTGAGAAAATTTTTAGTAATAATTTTTAGTTATAAGTTTGAAATCGCCAACCTGCATTGAGCAGGCGTGGTGATTAATATTGAAATCTTCTCCGTGAGAAGAGGCAGTGGGAAGTTGTAGGCTGTTGATGTGATTATAGGTTGTGGGTCGTTTGGTTTGAAGTAGAAATTGTCTAAGATAATTGATAGGTTTAAAAATTGCACATGATCTTAGTATCTAGACTGAAAAGAATTACTGTTATAATTATTGGCTCGCTGTCTGGTCGTTGCAACGGTGCTAAGATTAATTTGTGCATTAACTAATTTTGAAAACTTGTTTTGTAGAACTTTGAGACATTATTTTTATCGCACTGGCACTGAGGTGTGTTAATTACAGTCTGTCTGATGGAATACAGTTACCGTAGCTCACGGAACTTCCACCATATTTGTTGACTAAACCTCATGGTTAAGTCTTTTTCCATACATATAAAACTCATACTCTTATTCCATGGGTCATGGAGAGAATCTTTAGACCGTCACCTGGTACAATTCTTTTGTTTTGTGGGATAAGTCAGTAAACGAGCAGATGGATCGGCTGATAGTAAGCAATCGGTCGCTCGAAGTCGCCCATAGAAACCCGGATCACCAGAGGCATTACAAGTGCGTTCCCGGCCTTTTGGGAATTTAGAATTTTAGGGTTGGTAACATCTCTCACACACCACGAAATACAACGCAAGCGTTGTTTCACGACGCTTTTCTGTGAGGCCATGGTATCTCTCCGGTCGAGCCGACCCATTCGTGCGAAGCATGGCTCTCCCACACTTACTTCATTGGCTTGCACATTCATGCATCTGGCTATATTTATAAATATGTAAAATAACAATACCTTCTCAACATTTAACCTTTTTTAAGGACAGACAGGTTTTAACATATTTCTTAAACTTTTATGCGCTTGTCTTACTGATAAGGCACGACCTATTCTTATGGTCTAACCAAGACGCCAATGCCCTATGCCTATGTCCCATGATCACCTGCGACAATGGCTGCTAATGTCTTAATAACCATGCAATTAACGGCACTTGTAACCCAGTACTTGTGCTCGGTAAGTAATGGGTTTTTTAAACACCATGATTTTTCAAAAGTGTACTTATAACGAACGAGTTTGTTGCTCGTTTCTTTTCCTATATAAATATAAAATTTTGAACGAACATTTTTACTGATAGACTGACTGATGGATTTTTTTGGACGTGGAAACATGCTTAGCTTTGACTTTTATTGCATTTACTGAATAGGGTAGATGACTTATTTTTATTTTAATGTCCGTCTGGTAGATTATTAAAAAAACATTAGACACGTATTTTTTATTTTTTTACAGAAACGAATACTTTCGAAGATATATTGATTTGAAATACCGCGTGACGTCACTTCTATGATCGTTTTATACGTAGAAATGACGTTTTAGCTCCCACTCCTAAACTTTGATTCGTTTTATCTAAGTATTGTTTTCTTGTATGCCAAAATAAAAAAATACGTGTCTAATATTTTTTCAAACTGACGGACTAATTAGATTTTTAATTTTTATACCCTGTCATCATCCCAATTCTCTCGGTTTTTGAAAATTAGGCTTTGTGTCCTGGGTTGGATACTTAGCAATTTATTAATTACTAGTGAATCCGGTGCCGTTTCATCCGCTCTACTCGGCACCTTTTAATTGTAGCGTAATGCTTTTTAGCATATAACCTTCCTTAATAAATGGACTATCCCATGCAAAAAGAATTATTCAAATCGGACCAGTAAGTCCGGAGATTAGAGCATTCAAACAAACAGTCAAGCTTTATATAAAAAAAATACAAGTAGTAAGTATAAGATTAGTTTCAAAGCATAAATAATTCCCGTCACATCTGTACTCAGAGATATATCTACCTACTTATCTTCAAAAAACATGATTAGGTATAGCTCATAGATATATTCTCAAATTACCTTATAACTAACACAACTAATCAAGCATAGACCCACTAGAAATGCAGGATTCAAAATCAAACAAGGAAAACAGGTATCATGGTAAACCGGAAACCAGTCATGACATGTTATTAGACCATTTAATGTCAAGTCCAAACAACCTTGATTTCTAACCAATAGATACAAATTTGAGAATCATTGAATTAAACTTTTTACTCAAGCAACGGAGTCGAGTATGGTAAACTTGGTTTAATATTCTCTTTCGTATATTAAGGTAATTTAAAATGTCTAGTCGAAAGTACAATTGAACACATTTTTTTGCCCGTATCCGCCAACGTCTCTTCAATTTTAAATAGAAGAGAGGTGACACGTTGTGACAGCTTCGTTTTCACCAACGGGTGTGAACCTATCATGTGAACATTGTAAATAGATTTAGGTAAAAGGCCTTCTTGCGCTACATACCTAACTCTAAGTAGAGATGGTTTGGGAATTATGTGTGGTTGGTGGAAAAAGGCACACAACTTTTATTGTTGAATCGGAATAAAGTCGCAAGTATTTGTTTATCAAAGTCAAAGTCAAAATTATTTATTTCAATTAGGCCAGAATGGCACTTTTGAACGTCAACAAAAAAATAATAAGAAGTGAAGCTATTTTCTATCATTAGGTCCAATAGCACATGGCGTATTTTATACGCGCAGGAGACGTCCGTATTAGGAACGCGCGTTTTTGGCCCCGTAGGCGTTGCGTTCGCGTTCCGCGTGAGCCTCAAAGAGTCATCAGACCACCACAGATGGGGCCCAGTAGGGCTGGTGCCTGATACGGAGCCGCGGAAGGCCTAGCGGGAGTAGAAACGGGATGGTTTTTAGTCAGTAAGAGTCTGGACACTTCCTCTCGGCGGGAGAAGTCACTGGATAATTTCCACCTTCAAAAAAAGGCGTTGCGTTTGCAATGACGGTACAAGCGCGCGTATATGCGTGTTCGAAGCGAAGCGATAAAAAGAAACGGAGTCGAGCGCTAACTTCGCCCGTGTCTTAGTTGCAATTGTTTTATTGTGTTACGAGTGACTACGGCGCGTATACGCGCAGTAGAGGTGCGGTTACACGATCGCCTCGTATATCGATAGAGGAGGTTACAAGGTTGCGTTTGAATTTCGTATGAAGCGCGTATACGTGCATCATCTGCGCGTCTCCTACGCGTATAAAATACGCCGTGTACTATAGGCCGTAGGTAGAATCAGTTCAGTCAGAATTGCAAGTCTGTACATTATTAAAAGATTTTTAGGCCTGGCCGGTGTTAGATTAAAATTGCATTATTGAATGGAATTCTCTGTATTCGAACCTTATTTTCCGTTTACGAGTAGGTATAGCCTTCATTTTTATTTCCTCTATGAATTTCTTATGATTTTGTTAGAATATTGTTAGCTGTTCTTGCATTGTTTTCTAAGAAAAATCTTTCCTTTATTAGGAAAAATGTCGATTATGATATTTTTAGTTCAACTTTTTTTTACATTTCTTGTACTTACTAAGAATCGCAAATTTTCTTGTAAGCTCGTATTCATAGTCTATTTCGTAACTTATTTAGTTGTTTCACATATTTTGTTTTGATGACAGGGGAAACCTGCAAACGGCGCTTAGCTTTTTGGGGAGAAGGATTAGGTAGTGTGGGGTTATTACCTGACTATAACCACTTCGGCGGCCACCCTTAGCACGTGTAAGAGGCACCGGGTCCTCTAATAGACTTGATCCGGGGCCCTCACGATGCAACGCCTGTTATGGCACATGCTGTTCACAGACCCACAATGTACTAAATCAAGTTTTAAAATACAATGTGTAATCATGTACTACCATGTTAACGAACCACAATTAGGCTGATTTTAGTCTCACGCTAACCGTCAACGCTCCTAGCTCAGCGCGTAGTTTGACAGATGAAGACAAAGCCGTAGCTTTATTCGTCTGCGCATTATTTAAACCGCTTTATAGAAGTTCATACGTTTCGGTTGTCTGCGCCGATGATCAGTGTGTGGTCAGCGTGAGACTAAAATCAGCTTTATTAGCACTAGACTACACAGACAAGTTCACACTTTCTTAGAATAAGAAAAAATATCTAGACTGTTATCAGAGTCTAGACTACTGCGTCTAGTAATTGAGTTCAGTATAATGTTCAATGATTTATACTTTTCTATACTTTCACCTAGTTTTTTGTAGATATCCAGTCGATGGTTAGGTCGTAAATAGGTACACCTTTATTATAAACGCTTCATTGAACATAATGAGAGAGTTGGTGACTGTTATTATGAGATAAGCTGGAAAACGATAGATTACCTGATGGTAAGCAATCGACGCCGTCCATGGACACCCGTAACTCCGTACTATTGCGTTGCCGGCCTTTTGGGTGGGGAAGGGGGCGGGTTCGGGATTGGAAGACTGGAGATTCGGGGATTGGGCAGAATTGGTCCTCCGGTAACTACACTCATACGACGAAACAGCCGCGGTTACTGGAGGCCCAAATTCCCAATTAACGATTCTCTAAAAGGTCATCGGTATCCATAGGAACAGCCGATTGCTAACTATTAGCTTAAAAATAAGATTGGGGTAATGTGAACTAACTGTATACAGTAAGTAAGGTATACCTTAAGGTGGTTCAAAACGAGTAATATTATATTGCCATATTTGGCTGATACATATTATTACCATACAGTCTTACAGTTATAATATATTTTTCGTGTACTTTTTCAGAACTCATCAACTATACGCAGCCTGTCTATGTGTGGCGGGATGATCCTAACTCCAGGCAGAATACCATCAAGGAGATTATCGAGAGAGCAACTTCCAAAGAAGATTGGCCGCAGGTATGAGACAGAGTGGTGACGCAAGACGGGCAGCGAGAATATATTTGTCTTCTCTCTTCCTCCTCTTCCTTCGGGTATCGTTAGAGTCTACTTAGAGACTACATAATGACTACTTTCATTATTGACTAGCTTTTGCCTTAGTCTAAGTGTGGGAGAGCCATGCTTCGGCACGAATGGGCCGGCTCGACCGGAGTGATACCACAGCCTCACAGAAAACTGACGTTGAGCAACGCTTGCGTTGTGTTTCGTCGTGTGAGTGAGGTTACTGGAGGCCCAATTATCCTCCCCTTCCCCAATTTCCTCAATCTCTGAATCCCCAACGATCCTCAAACTCCTAATCCCCAAAAAGCCGGTAACGCACTTTTAACGCCTCTGGTGTTCCAGGTGTCCATGGGCGACGCCGATTGCTTACCATCAGGTGATCCGTGTGCTCGTTTACCGGCTTATGCCATAAAAAACAAATCTTCGTCCGTGCAGATATAATAGAATTTTAGGACATAACTTTATTTATTTCAATTTTCCAAAATAAAACTACCTAGCTTATGCAACTCCTTAGTACATCCGCTAACTGCAAATAAAACTGCCGTCAAAATCGGTCCAGCCATTCAAGAGATCAGCCAGTACAAAGTGACAGATAAATAAAAATTTTGAAAAATGTTATTTTGATATGTGTATCGTATTGTATAAAGTAACGTGTAGTAAAAAAATACAACAGTGGTCTCGCACAGTTGAATGGTTAAAGTTGCTTTGCTTTGACATGTTGAGATTATTTAATATTAAATTCAAGCAACATGTTATTGCAGATCGTTAAAATACTCTTTGAAGTCTTTGAAAAATTTAAAAGAGTACGACAGCGATACTGAATTAAGTCACCTACTATAAATACATTTTTTTTTGAGGGGGGAAAATCATCCAATGACTTCACCCGCCCAGGTGAGGCGGGAGGGAGTGTCAGACTCTTACTGATTAAAAACCACCCCGTTCCTACTCCTGTACTTCGAGCCGGAGCCCCGGCAACCTGTTAAGTCTTTCGCAGCTCCGTATCGGCATCAGCCCTGTTGGGCCCCCATCTATGGTTGTCTGATGGCTCCTTGAGGCGCGCGCGGAACGCGACGCGCCGTACGCTCGGGCCTGGTTCTGGTCGGGAGCGAGTCACCCGTGCTCGCCGTCCGCAGGCCCGTACCTACTATAAATACATGCGTTCTATATTTTCGGAACATGTTATTATCAACCATCCGTACTTACACATATATTTATATTCACGTTAGGTGCCCTTCAATGGCTTCGGATTAACAAAAGGTCAACGATGTGAAGAATTACAAGTTAGTAACTATTCGACCATGATAGTGACTTAATTTTAATATATCGGGTCGGTGGTCCAGTGGATGTGAAAGTCACTGGGCGGCACGAGGTCATCATTTCAATTAGTCTTTTCCTACCTTTATTTTGTTGTAGTGACGCAGTATAACTTTGAGGTTTAAGTTTGTTTCTGTATTATTTTTTATGAGATAGTCGGTAGACGTCGGTTTTCGGCTCAGTCGTGGTATCACTCCTGTCGAGCTGGCCCATTCGTGCCGAAGCATGGTTCTCCCACACGTTTGTTTTTTTTTCACAATTACTAAGAATTGGGTTTAGTAATCATTATATGACTCGACTTAGACATTTATATCAAACGAGTGCTCAGTATTCGCGATAAACTGTGATGCAGTTTTGCCAAATAGTTGATTAAAATTAAATTATAAAACTTTGTAAAATAAATTATTAAGCTGCTTAAGGGTAAAGGCCTTTCCCCTAAAGAGTGGAGAAGCCATAACCCCGTACAATAGCGGTTAGCAGGTGGTCAATCAAATTAATTAATAGGTCGGGAACCGAACATTGCATGACGTCAATAAATGAAGTCGACTTATGTGGTTTAATTTATAAATGCTATAATGTACACAATTAAGTAGCCTAGGTAACAAACAATTGTGAGTGTGATCAAATGTCGAGTTCCTAGTCAAATAATTCTTTAATTAATAACCTTCATTTCCTTACGTAAATATACCGCGGACTATTCGTATGGTCCGACGTCGTGCACGCACTGTGCTCACGAGGAAGAGTTCCACGTTGACTTGATACTAGTAGACTTTCTCTCAACATTTACCTGCGTATTATTAATTATTTTCACGTTAATTGTTCATACAAAGGACATGTTTAATGTTATACCTAATGATAAAGAAAGAAAGAAAGTAAAATAATTTATTTTGCATCAGTTTAAAAGATTTACGTCTAGGGGGCGAGCCATAAATGTGTTATTCCTAAGTGTAGTGCTAATGATCGAAAATACTCAACACAGCTTTGCCAAATATAAAATTCAAAGCTGATACTGATATGAATAATATTATTATTTATGTATTTAAATTAAATGATATTTTATTTGATAGTTCCTTTCTATTCCAGGTGCTTATCTTCCCTGAGGGTACCTGCACGAACCGTTCGTGCCTGATCACGTTCAAGCCGGGTGGATTCTACCCAGGAGTACCTGTACAGCCGGTCACCATCAGGTACCCTAACGCCAGAGACACAGTCACTTGGACCTGGGAGGGCCCTGGAGCGTAAGTCAGCATTTTTTTAATAGAACCACCATATTTGATTATAAGCAACGTATTCACGCAGAAATGAAAAACATCAAATTTGTATCCTGCTGGAAACATACCTCTATACTATGGCACGTAATTCCACTTCCGAGCGGTTCGCACAAGGTTTTTGATTCAAGTCAAAGTTCATTTAGTTAATTTAGTTAGTCCATCAGTCAGTTCAAAAGTTTAGTTTAGAACGGAGAAGAATTAGCAAGAAACTCCATCGTTACTCTTTTTAAAATAAAGGCCAGGATGACATATTGCCAAGAGTTTAATATATTCATTAGTCAAAAAGTATTTATATCAACTACACCCATTCTCCATCTTCTATCTCCATTCTTCTATCTAAACAATATATCGTTATTTATTTTGTTCTTCCAGCCTAAAGCTGTTGTGGTTGACCTTAACACAAGTGCACAGTTCGTGTGAAATTGAGTTTCTACCTGTATATTATCCGAGCGAAGAGGAGAAGAGGGACCCCAAACTGTATGCGAGAAACGTTAGAGATGTCATGGCCAAGTAAGTGAGACATCTATGTATATTCACCTGTTTTAGTAGGCATACGAATCACTTTGTTGCCATTATCCTCATTCTTATGGGCTCGCTGCCATTGCAGCGGTAAGTCCCCTCTTTGAGGAGTGTTTTGAGAGACGCTACGGTATCCTCACCTACCGCCTGACGCAGGTCCTCACCGGACTTGGAAGTTTCGGGAGGTACCTGTGTCTGATGGGGCGGGAGGAAACGCCCGGGTGTCATCACTGCGAGGACCACCCTGAGGACACGGTGGAACACACAGTAGGGGAACGCCCTATGTGGGCTGAGAACCTCACCCAGGCGGGAGAAATAATTCGATGATTTTCCTCACTTAAAAAAAATCCTCATTGTTAGCAGGCGACTTGGTGATAACTGGTCACCGAAAGCAAGGTCGGTCAACTTATGATGGTTGGTCACGGTTTACTACGCACCCGGGTACTATTACCTGTGTGATAGCAGCAGATGCAGCAGGTCAATCAATTTTTAAATGATCCCACTTGAATTTGGATATGTAGGTGCCGATGCAACATATCGCCATAGCGTCCTTATTTGACAGATCTGTATCTAATAATTTCTTTCATAAAAAATTCTAGGGCATTAGGAGTACCAGTCCTGGACTACACGTACGATGACTGTCGGCTCATAGCTCGAGCGAAGCAGCTGGGCATACCTTGTGCAGCGTCGGCCAGGGAAGTCAGCGAGATCCGAGGACAACTTGGGTAAAGTCGAAGACAAAGCATATTTAAATAATATTACTCTCAAACTGGCACTTTTGAAAGGTCAAAATTGAATTCTTCGCCAGTCTATCCGTGAATAGATACACCATATACATAGATGGTTGGCAGGCCACAACTGTGCGCTTCTCGCGTAGCTTTCTGCCTCGCACAGCAAAACTGTAGAATGATCTGTCGTCGGCGTATTTCCGAACCGATACTACCTTCAAACCTTCAAGAAAAGAGCGTATTCCTTTTTAAAAGGCCGGCAACGCATTTATGACTCCGCTGCTGTTGCGGGTGTCCATGGGTGGCGCTGATTGCTTACCATCAGGTGATCCGTCAGCTCGTTTGCCTCCTATTCCATAAAAAAATCTTACTAAGTTTGTGAGTATGCGTGTTATTGTGTTACTCAATCACGCCCAAACATCTGAAGGGATTGAGATGTAATTTGGAACAGGGGTAGATTGGACCGTGGGCGATACCGCTGGCAGAATCTAGTCCTTACTATAATATTATAAATCGGAAAGTGAGTTTGTTTGTTTGTTCCGCTTTCACGCCATAACCACTGAACCGATTGCTTTGAATTTTTACAGACGTAAAGTTACAAGTCCGGATTAAATAATAGAGTACTTTTTATCCCGGATAAATGTGACATTCCCGAGGGAAAACAAAAGTATTGGTATAGATGGCGCTGTGTGTATTGGTATATGTCACATAGGCTACTTTTTATCCTTTTGTGGCGCGAGCGAAGCCGCGGGTAAAAGCTAGTATTTTTATATATGATCCTGTTACAGTTTGGAGCGGTCAGGTCTAGACCTGGTCGTGGCCCGCGGCGGGCTGGCGGGCGGCGGCGCGGCGCGGCGCTGGCTGGGGCCCGACGAGTTCGCGCAACGACTCGGGGTACCGCTGTCTGCACGCACGCAGCGACTCTTCGACATATTCATGCAGGTCACTACAAAAGGCTTTAAACTTTCTTCCGTCTGTTATGCCATTAACCGATACCATCTAAAGTACTTTTTAACCGACTTCAATAAAGAAGGAGGTTCTCAGTTTGACCTGTATGTATATCTCGCGGTTATCTCGCGATTGGCTGTACTGATTTTGATGCGGATCAGATAAGCGATTGTTACTTAGGAGAAAGTTTCAGTATATTAATAAACCGATCGCAAAAAGGGGTTGAAGTCGGTTTTTTGAACGTAGTTATAAACAAAAGAATTATTTGTTGTATGGGGCGGCAAGTGAGCAGGATTACTTGATGGAAAGCAATCAGCGCAAACACTCGCAACACCAGAAAAGCGCGTTGCGTTGTCATTCTTCTGAGTTGAGTGTTACGGATTTGAAGATTGGGGATAAATACATCTTAGAAAGCTAAACCCAGACTTGAGTAAGGTCTCACCGAGCATTGTCTATCAGCGATCTAACTACGACCCGCAAGTAATTTGCCAGCCGTGGGATTATTATATTAAAAAAGGCAGCGGACATTTTCCAGCTGATGAATACAGATTAAAGAGATACGGGTTTTTTAACACGATAAAAGCCATTGGGATTAGGGGACGATGTTAGGGATTTGCTTTCAGTAGTTTTATATTGGCACAAGTTCCCAAAATCGTTGCAACTACAGTAGATACAACCATGAAAACATCGAAATATTAAAGTTGAACGCGTCTCAGGGGCATGAATAACTGTCGTGGATACCGCAAGGAAATAAATCAGAAGAATGTACTATTAGCAGTCAAAGACAGAAGGGTTATATTGTATGTAATTGAGTTGAGTATGATTGTGTTTGCAGCGCTCGAGTGGGTTGTTGTACTTCCCGGACTACTTGCTGAGCGCCGCCTTCCTCGCCCTGCAACACGAGCCTCTCACACAACTCCTGGCTATAGCCTTCAAGGTAATTACAGCTTTCTCATTTAGGCTTTTTTTTGAGGGGAGGAAATCATCCAATGACTGCTCCCGCCTGGGTGAGGCGAGAGGCAGTGTCACACTCTTACTGACTAAAAACCACCCCGTTCCTACTCCTGCACTTCGAGCCGGAGCCCCGGCAACCCGTTAAGTCCTCCATGGCTCCGTATTTCTCATTAAACAAGGGCCCCCTACGAATAATTAATGCACGATTAAAGTGTCGTATTTCGCAGTCGGATTTTTACTACATGTCTATAAAATTATTCGATGTGTCTGTGTAAACTATGTGATGCATGGCTATTGTGACAACGTCCTCTCACTGTGTGGTGTAGTTGTACGCGGGCGGCGCGGGCGGGCGCGTGGCGGCGGCCGGCTTCGAGGAGCTCGCCGCGCGCTGTCTCGGGCTCGCTCCGGACGACGCCCGCAACACCTTCCGCCAGGCAGACCTGGACGAGGACGGATACCTCACCTACGGTAAGCTGGAGAACTCATCTATGTTCCTGCTCTCTCCTTGTACACTATAAATGGTATTAATAGAACAAGAAAATCAGCGATGTCACTTAAATATAGTTACTTAGTCATTGATTTGGTGACATTAAAAAAAACAGATTTTTATATTAGCTTGACTAGTTCAAACTAGTAATTTGGTTCACAACCTTGACGTTAGCTAAGGAAACTAATAAGTGAATAAGTTGCAAACACAATTTGACACGTGACAGGTACGAAATATAAGCTGTTGCGACATGTCACAGTACGCCGCACATTCTGCTGATAGTCCAGTTATTCTGCTATGACTGCTGCAAATGTTACAACCTTATTTCAACTACTTTAGCAATCATAATGCCATGACACAAAGTGACTCGTACGTCCCCCGAGATCAAAGAGTATAATAAGTAGAGGGGATAAGAGTTGCCCGAGATACAATGGCGTGCTGTAGTAACGCTTGGAATGAATCAGCATGCCATGGCATGCCGGATACGCGTCGCGAAAATGAATTCTAAATTCTTTGAAATAGAAATCAATATAACTTAATAGGTATGTTATAAAATCAATTGCTTTGAGCACTGGCTCGTAATTAATAAAATTTTGCATAATTTTTAATTATTGCTTTTCCAGATGACTTTATAGCATACGCGCAGAAGAAAGCGGAGTTCTCATTTGTATTTGCGTGCGACGCATCGCATCACAAGCCGAAGGCTCAGTGAGGGTCACCAGTTCACATCCCGACAGTCTGCAGCCAAGTGCCCTAGTGACGGAAACTTATCCACACCAGGATAGGAGCGAAGAGAACAGTAATGTCGAGAATGTGAAATTGTACTTCAAATTCTGAAATCGAAACTATGAAAGAAGGCTTATTAATACTTAAAAATGGCAGTATCGTCAAAGGACTTAGTCAAAAAGAAAAAAAAAAATTGACGTTGACATTTGTCAACTTTTTGCCGCCATTAGTTTGACGTTTGAATTGTTGAGTTTATTCGTTTTTTATTGGAAATGTCTGGATTACAATGTGATGAGTAAGCTAGTGAGAGATAAGCGGTGATTAATATTTATGTATGAAATTACTAAATAATGCTCTGTTGGTTATGTTTATAAGAGATCGGATACTAATTGTGTAAAAGTCGTTTGTGTACGTACGTGTACGTATGTGAATGGGTGTTTGTATTTATGTATGGTCTTGTGTGTGTTTAGTATTTGTGGCAACCATCAAGCGTGTGGACGGGGCGTGAGGAGGATTGGAACCTAAAACTGCAAATTGAATGTAACATTATAGAACAGTGAAAATTAATTGTGTTATGTAAATAGTAATTACATAGACGACGTTTTGGCCTGCTTTTTCATCAGTTTTTAAGTAACAATAGTATTCTTACCAAGGGCCATCAATAATTCCATGATCAATAATTTTATTTATTATTACGCTTACTTTTACATTATCACCATTTCCTACATATTTTATAAGTATCCAATATATTAGGATATACTGTACGTTTTTTCGGTTTTCTGAATGAAATACGACCAATAAAGTAGGTATGGCTATTAAAAATAAAACAACCATTTAACAGCATTACACCAAATACCTACCTACATATGTTACATATAAAACCATTAACATTTCCACGTGCCGAGTAACAATCATGTCGCCTGTCCACGATCATATTTCAACTGACCGCTTCGACGAAAACCTATATTAGGTACTTGAGAACCACTAAGTGAAGACCTGAAGGTCGAGTTCAGTGGAGAGGTCTGTGTCTAGCATTGACATAAACAAGGTGATAATGAACGTCATACATGAAGAAATCTGTCCTAATTTATGATGAAGAAACAGGCCTATAATATGAGAAGGAATGCATTTGAAATATTCAGTGACAAGTATTTAGTTTATAGTACAAATTTATTTATGTGGTGTCGTACATGCTTTATCCTACTGTTTGTATCATCCTGTTCTTTAACTGACTGGAATATAGCGTGAAGATCGTTAGCCCAATTGGGAATTGGCTAAGGTTAAACAATTGGATCAAGGACGTTGAAAAAATGGCGGACACAGTCCCTTGGAACAACGACTGTGGCACCTGGCTACTATAGACTTACATGCAGAATACACGCACATTGACACGAAGGACATCTGTCGCGTGACATGGCGCGTCATTACACTTCATACATTACGGTGTTGCAAGTACACGCACACATAGATACACCACTGACATTTTGGTGCTTCAATCATTTCTAAGTGACATTACGTCCACCTTTTTTCAACGTCCTTGCATTGGACACTCAGATTTTGACAGCTAGAATGATTACTGCCGCCTATTGAGTAAGAAATGGGTACTTGCCAATTAGTCAAATTCAATATTTTTTCGAGTTGTCAAAAACTACAGTTTTTTGTGAATTTTGTACGAGATTGTGACGAATTTTTAGCGTTAAACGGCATACTTAATTCTTGAAAAATACTAAAATTAAGTTGGTCATAAAATCAATTAATGAGAGTGTGATTATTTTGTCACATTTTATTGTATTGAACAAGCGAAATAATTTATTTTTGATTAAGTCAAGTACCCAAATTCCTTGGTGGGCCATCACTTTGCGGTTAGACATTCATCCTCCATTGTTAAATAGAATATAATTATTAATTTATTTGTGAATAGCTGTAGCGTTATAAGTAATTGGTTAGTTAATGAATAAGTCAATTATCGACGCGAGTTTTTTTTAATTTAGTGGTCTAAGCTTGTGTATGTACCAGTAGGTAATCTGAGGCCTTAGTACCTACGAGTTTGTTTTACGTTTTAAAGTAATCGTAACGAGTACGCATTCGGCGCTCTGCTTGGTTGCTTCTTTGGTGCCGGCCAATCAGAGTGTAATATAAAATATGTAATGTAAAATACTACGTAAAACAAACTTGTACTAAGGCCTCTGTTAACAATTTTTGAAAAGTAGATCGAATTTGATATCTAATGGAAACTTCAATTTGGCGTTTAACATGTGGCGCTAGTCAGTCGTAAAGTCAAACATGTTTATTGCTTATTCAACTTACATAATGAAAATATATAATACAGGGAGTAAACAGGCTTAGTACGAGTCTCTTTTTCGTTTAAAGTAATCGTAACGAGACAGCGTTCTACGTTGTGATTGGCCGGCGCCAACGAACCTTCCAATCAGCGCGCCGAACGCGTACTCGTTTGGAATACTTTATACGTAAATGGAACTCGCACTAAAGCCTCTCTACTACTACTACATTAGCGCCACTTTCTACGACAAGTCTTAAATTCGATTTCCATTGCGGGTAACGATCAAATTGATTTGCTTTTCGGAAATCAGATTTTAAAATTGATATTTAATTTAGTTTGATCTTGTTGACTTGTATTATAATAATGATATTGTTTCTGTGTGTATTATTCCATTAGTATTAATACTAATTTAGTTAGAAATTATGTGATTTAGATTTGTTGGAATACTTAAACGCCACTCAATTCTAAGACGTTCTACAGTTATATGTACTTACTATTCTAACTTTACAATTATAATTATACAAATTGATTCTAAAGCTAAAGAGTATATGAGTTGGATAGCTCATTTGTCTTGGAAGAACATAACATAATATAGCACCACGCCTTTTATCCACGAAAGGGTAGGCAGAGGTGCACATTTACGATTAACTAGTTTTGTACATATCGCAGTCATTTGGTTGTTGTCACCTGGTCCTCGAAGGGAGGGCTCTTCCGAACGCATGATCAAGTCAGCGAGTTTGCAAACGTTCAGTTCCTACGTCAGACTTGACAAGTTGTTCTTTAGTAATTCAATCAAATAGGTGAGTGAACCAAATGACTGCAGCATATAGCTACATCACGCTAAGTGCAATACAAGCCGACGAACGGTTTAAGTGAGAACAACTTAAAATTGAGTAGCATTTTATTGTTCGGGAGTGAGTAACTGCGTATGTCCTCCATGTTATTCTTTCTGTATTATTGATTACTATGTTTATTGTTAGTAAATAAATCGAAAGGCGATTTTTTGAAATCATCAAATATTAGATAAATTTTAATTTAAAAAATGAATATTTATGTCCCTTTCTCACTCAGATTCTAAAAAGAAGAGAGCAAGTGATGAAAACTTGTTTCATGACTTAAAAAAACGTTATTTATTTTGGCTTAGAGCTTCGTTTTGATTATAATTCATATATAAACCTTAAGAAGTAGAAAATTCGCACAATTTTCTACGTAATTGTTTTGAGATAATGTAATGGATAATAAAAAAAGGGAATTTGCGGACGAGCAACTACCTATGACAACAACTTTGCGGAAGGTAAGGCTATTGTTGTAACAAGTTGCTCGTCTGTAACATACCTGAAATAACAAAAAAAAAATAGACGATCAAAGTATTTGTTACGCTACAATATGAAAATGGCATTTTAATAACAGAAATATTGTATAAATAATGCATAAGTAAGTTTTGCTTAAAGCTAATACTTCACCTTATAGATTGCTTAGCCAATAATTGGCCTCTTCCAGTAAATATCAGTTACTTAGAAGGCCATTTGTAACAATGTGATAATTGTAAGTAGCTAGCTGAACCAGTACAAGCTATAATGACGCTAATTTGTTGTTACAATTGAGATTATTTTCCAACACCCCTGTGCAATTTAAGAACCTCTCCGGTCTCCTTGTTCTTCCTTTAGAATAGTTAAAACTTAATGTATTTGTAGAGTGTCGATTAAATAAAAGGAATTGTTTAATTCACTATGAAGTCAAGGATTTTTGTCCTAGTTTTTTTTTTACATGTCAATAAAAAGGAAATTAGTTTGTAGCAAATGTTTTCATCCTATCCTTTCACGTCATCGCAGCATAACAAAACGCAGCACGTCAGCGGAGAGCAATGTAAAATAAATGACCACGTTTGATGTTCAATCATCCTGTAACATATTTTTTATGTAGTTTTTTGTTAGTACAGTAACAGATGTTAAGAAAATTCTCAACATTTTTGGTGACGGGGAGAAACCTTTCTTTTTTTTTTAGCAGACCACCTGATGGTAAACAATCGGCGCCGCCCATGGACACTCGAAACACCAAGGCATTACAAGTGCGTTACCGGCTTTTTGGGAATTAGGAATTTGAGGATTGTGGAGGATTCGGGGATTCGGGAGACGGGGACTAGGGAGGCCGTGAGGCCGTGGTATCACTCCGGTCCAGCCGGCCCATTTGTGCCGAAGCATGGCTCTCTCGTGTGGGAGAGCCTCACAGAAAACCGACGTGAAGCAACGCTTGCGTTGTGTCTCGTCGTGTGAGTGAGGTTACCGGAGGCCCAATTACCCTCCCCTTCCCTAATCTCCCCAATCCCTGAATCCCCAACGATCCTCAAACTCCTAATCCCCAAAAGACCGGTAACGCACTTGTGACGCCGATTGCTTACCGTCAGGTGATCCGTCCACTCGTTTACTTGGCTTATGCCATAAAAAAAATGGGTATGAACCAGACCTACAGCTGGACTGTAATACCTGGCACATGCCACAATTATTTATTTCTTAACCATAAAAGATAACAGTGATGGTGGACCTATACATATAGTATACATATTCACCATTCAAAAATTATTATGTTGGGGAGTGCGGTTCTGTTTTTCCTATAATATAGTAGATGCCTAATTTTTATTTTAATGTCCGTCTGGTAGATTATTTTAATTAATTAGACACGTATTTACAGAAACGAATACTTTCCACGATATAATTATTGATTTGAAATGTCGCTTGACGTCGCTTCTATGTACATTTTATACGTAGAAATGACGTTTTAGCCCCACTCCTAAAATTTGATTCGTTTTATCTAAGTATTGTTTTATTATACGACAATATAAAAAAATATGTGTCTAATATTTTTTCATTACCAAACTGACGGACTAATTAGGTTTTTGATTTTCATACCTTGTCATCATTCCAATTTTAAATGTTTTGGTAGAAAAAGAGGTTAGTGAATGTAAAATTAATATAACTGTTCTATATGCACACTTTTATTTATTGATTTATTTTTTTCTTACGACACAATGCCATATCGTACGAAGGAAAAAATAATTTACAATAAACACACTTTATTATGATAGTGCCATCCGTATTAAGAAGCTTAGGATCCGTGAATCGTGTTGATGCTCTTTCAGTGCGAATGAGGCAAATATGTAGTACCTACAATTTTTTATAATGACATAGGTAGACGAACTTTGTTGTGTGGTGGCCCGGATGTTTACGACGTCTGATTCTCATGTATGAGAGTTCGGATTCGAAACATACCAACGGCAAGCACCAAAGTGACTTTTGCAAAGTGAGTTACATGTACTTTCTTACATTATTTCGACAATTGACAATAGGTCAATGATGCTGAAACCTTTTCCGTGTGAGTAGAGGCCTTTGGTTAGCAGTGGCCGCTTATAGGCTGTTGATGATGATGATGACGATGAGAACTTTGAATGTAAAAAGGATCATCCGGCTTTTGGGTTAACCGGTTGCATTTCACTTTCATCAAAATCAGAAGGTGGTCCTGAGTTTGGATCAGTATCTACGCTTCGGGGTTTCTCCGGTTTTGTTTTAAAATATTCGTAATTTAAGAGATGTGCCCTTTCGACTATGTTGGTTATATCAATATTACAAGCCAGTAACTTCTCATATATTATAAGATGCCAGATGAAATGTGTCTTCCACTTGAACGTTTTCATTTGAGCCAGTAAGTTCTCCATTTTCGCTATAATGGCTGTAGCCCGACCATACAAAACTGATATTTGGTAGGATGGTATTTGGTGGTATTTTTTACGGAACGGATATGTTACATTCATTCTTATCTGAGTTGTGTAAATACTTTGCTGCAAGAGGTCCATGGCTTTGTTTGTGATGTACGTGTTGTTGGGATTGGTGTCTAGAAAATCCTTGTGTCGTCGGAAGGTATTATGTCGCCGTGTAAGTTCCGCGATTGTGCGCTCCTCATTTTTCTGTTTAGCAAAGCTAATTATTTTCTTGACACTATAGACGTCGAGTACGTTCATGTCGAGGTTTTCACTATTCGGGTCAATGTTTGGGTTTCCAACAGGTTTTCCTAAGATGATGTTAGCGACAGTATTGTCACTGTAGCTGTGCCCTAAGAATTTCGTAAGTAATTCATCGAGAGCTTCGGCTTGTGGCAGCGGTTTTCCCCGTTTTAACACAACACATGTTGAGCTGTGTATGTCTGTTGACAAAAAAAATGTATTGTGGAATTCTTTTCATATCAACATGTGAAGTATTGGTCATGTCGGTCGGATGTAGGTACCTTGAATTAAACCGTATCCTTGTGGTTGGAGCTGGCTGTGCTGGTATACATATGTATAACCAACTATGTATATAGTTGCTATATAGTATTGATGTTGTGATTAGGAATGGATGGATGGGGGACATGGGGAGGGGAGGTTCGAATCTCCGCTCCGTTAAGCTCACTTACACGGCGAAATACGACACAAGCGTTGTTTCACGTCGGTGTTCTGTGAGGCCGTGGTACGGCTCCGGTCCAGCCGGCCCATTCATGCCGAAGCATGGCTCTCCCACACTTAGAATATTATTAGTTTAAAGTGACTAAGACTCTTAAAAATGTTCGTAATACTTACATCCATGCTAGTACTTGACTTTTATGTCCTATATCCTAGCCTTATCCATGGAAAACGGCATTACACGTACCGTCCCTATGGTCTCTGGCTGAACTGCGTGGGATGTTTGTTGTGAGTTTGTTTTACGTTGAAAGATAAGATAAAGATAAAGACATTTATTTGCGTAAAACATGGTATACAAAGATGTTATAGTTACAATATAATAGATCATCATGTTTTCCTTAATAAATAAAGCATGCAAATTTTAACTTAAAACTTATTTTAACTAACTTACACTCGTAGTTATAAGTTATACATTATTATTTATGTTCAAAAAATTCCTTAATGCTATAAAAATTATTTTCATTCAACCATAAATATAATTTGATTTTAAATAGTCTGAGGTTAAGTGTTTTTAATGTTATCGGCAATTTATTAAATATTCGGACACACATACTTAGGCAGCTTTTATTATATTTTGTTGACTTAGGAAACTCCTCTAGTACTAATCTGTGATGGTCGCGTCGACTTCTAGAGCATACATCTTCTGCCGTTTTGAACAGTTCTTTATGTTTACGTACGAATATACATACTTCATATAAGTACAATGAGGGTAGGGGTAGCAAACCAAGCTTTTTGAATATTGACCGACATGATACATCAGGTGGAATCCCATATAAGGCTCGTATACATCGTTTTTGTGCGATAAATGCTCTCTCTTGATCAGTACTATTTCCCCATGCAATTAAACCATATCGTAGTGATGATTCAATATACGCACGGTAGGACATGACCGCAGTTTTCATGCAAGTGACATTTTTGATTTGTTTGAGAGGATAAACAAATTTATTTATTTTGTTGCAGACATGGTTGACTTGTTCTTTCCAGTCTAGATGTTCATCTATAAATACTCCTAAAAACTTGGTGTTGTTTGCTTGCGAAATTTTAGGTATATCCATTTTAAAATTAAATTTACTGTTATATGATTTATTGAATTGTACGTAAACTGATTTATTAAGATTGATGGATAGGTCATTACTATCGAGCCAGTTGATTATATTATCTATTGTGTTGTTTATATGTGTTTCGTGATCTTTAACGGAGTTACGTTTTTTATCATTAGTGACAATTATGGAAATATCGTCGGCAAAAAGAAAGCATTTATTGTTAGTCACATCAACTATATTGTTTATGTAAAGTAAGAATAAAATCGGGCCCAATATACTACCTTGGGGTATGCCCCGCTTTATGCCTTTATATTCTGATGGGTAATTGATCATATTCTGACTTTTATCAATTCTGGTGATAATGACCCTCTGTTTTCTATCAGATAAGTATGACAATATCCGGTGTAAAGGTGGTCCTCGGATTCCGATAACCTCTAATTTCTGCAACAATCTATCGTGTGTAACTAGGTCGAATGCTTTCGATAAGTCAATAAATAAACCCGTTGTAAGATGATTTTTGTTAACATTGGCTAATACTACTTTCAGAAGTGAAAATATAGCTAAAGTCGTGGATTTATGTTTTTGGAAGCCGAATTGTTCCTTTCTTATAATGTTGTACTTCTCACAGTACGTGATTAACCTTCTATACATACATTTCCCATAAATTTGATATAATGGGTATTAGTGTTATAGGACGATAATTGGACAAGTCATATTTGTGCCCCTTTTTAAAAAGTGGTTTTACAATACACAGTTTTAACGCGTCAGGGAACAACCCCTGTGAAAAAGACAAATTAATTAGGAAAGTTAATATTTTGCTTATTTCATCAACGCATTTCTTTATTATTGTGGTGTTAAGTTCATCGTAACCTTCCGAGTTAGTGTTATTTAATGATAATATCTGTTCTTTTACTTCAATTTCAGACGTAGGTATTAGAAACATTGAGTTATGTGCTAGTTTTGTATTTCGGCAGGTATTTGTAACGTTTTGTACTAGTGTGGTATTTATATTTATGAAGTGATCATTAAAGGCGGATGCAATTTCTGTGGGCTGTGTTAGTGTGGTAGTATCAGTTTTAATAATTTCAATATTGTGCTTGAGCTTAGCACTGTTTACCTCCTTTTGTATCACTGCCCATGTTGCCCTACACTTATTATTGTTCATAAATTTTATATTAGCGTTCCGTTTGGCATTATAAATACATTTTTGTAATAATCTAGAATATAAGATATACATATTTTTATTGCTTAAATTTTTAAACTTGTAATATTGATGTCTTAAAAATCTTTTAGTTCTAGAGCTTTGCCTAAGGCCTTTAGTTATCCATGTTTGTTTCATTTTATTGCTTATATTTATTTTAACTCTTATTTTTGGGAAACAGAGATTATAAAATAGACATATTTGTTCATGGAAATGATTAAACGCTGTACCTCTATTTGCATTTGTGTCCATGTAAACATCACACCAAGATAGCTTTTGTAGGCAATCTCTAAATTTACGTATATTATCTATACTATAATCCCTTTTGTAAATGAAGTATGATACAATATTTTTTGATAATTGAGTCTTTAAAGGAAAGCTTAACATTTGTGCCGTTTCGTGATCAGAAAGGTTAAATGGTAGAACGCTTGCAATCGCGTCTGGTATGTTACTTAGGATGTGGTCTATACATGAATTTTTACGGGTGGGTACGTTGATATTATTATGAATTTTTATATTGTGGTTTTGACCGATATCTTGAAAGTTTTGTGTGATTTTGCCTTTTTTTAATGTGTTTATATTAAAATCCCCTAACAGAACGATATGAGTTTTAGATTTGTATTTTTTGAATAGATCATGTAAAATACTATCCAACTTAGCTAGGAACTGATTAGGATCCGACTGGGGTGTTCTATATAAACAAATAATTACTAATTTTTCATTTACTAGTTCTATGCCACATATTTCGAATATTTTAGTAGTGGCGTGATTGTTTAAAAGTGATAATTCCTTGAATTTTAGACCCCTTTTAACTAAAATACAGGTGCCACCTCGCTGGTGTTCCCTGCTGAAATTTGAGGCCATTTCATACTCAGACAAGTTGAGAAAGTTTTCTTGACCTTTTTTTATAAATGTTTCTGATAGGCAAATTATATGTGGGTCATTCTGTATTTCTCGCATATCCTGTAATGTTAATTCCAATATTCCTTGTTTAGATAGAACACTCGCGATATTTTGATGAAGTATTCTAAGTTATGCAATAAAGGTTGAGTTTTAGGGTCGAAAAAATGTGTTACCTTTAGTAGTGGAGGGAAAATAATATGGTATAGTACCTATTTTTATGTGTTTCTCTGTTGACATACACGTAATTTGAATAGGATTAGGATTTTGAGTAGGATGTCTGCAGTTACGATTTGTGAAATAGAAGGGAATGGTCCCTATTTTAGGTTTTAACGGCTCTGTTTTGTGCAAAGAGCTTGTTTTGCTGCCCGCAAGGTGTTTCCTGATTTCAATTGGATTTAGATACTTCTTGCTATAATCCTCACAATCTATAATGTAGTTTATCTTTTTGTAAATGTTAGGTAAGTTATAATATTTACAGTCAGCGAAATGACAATTTTTATAATATTTACAAATATTTCTGATGCGATAGTTTAGTTCATTGACATCTAGATGTTTACTTTTGACTACGTTTAGTACAATTATGCTACTGTTATAGAAAGTCTTCAATACAATTTTTAACTGAGATAATACGTGTTTTGTATTGTAATCATTTTCGCCTATACATAATACAATTTTGTCATTATAGAGGTAAGATAAGTTAGTGCTAGTACATTTATTTATTATTGTGTCGCTGAGGGCATTAGGCATGGTTTCTCCTATAATATCGTATTTTTCATACCTGGTAGCCTCTCTGGAACGAGTAAGGGCTGCGGCTAGGCCGACGCATTGTTGTGCGCCAAATATTTTGATTGTATTTTGTATGGAGTTTCCAATTTCTGCAGGGCACTGTCGTCCTATTGGTGAGGTTTTAAGGGATTTCTCTAGAATCTGCATTTGAGTGTTGAGAGATTTTATTTCTTTTTCGGAGTTAATTAGTTCTCTCTGTAGGTAGGCGATTTTTTCGTACAAATGACATGTTCTATTGGTACGGCAATTAACGTCCAGCGATTGTATCCCAGATGTAGGTGTGGAGAAGATATCTTGACTGGCGATGGATTGTCTTTCCTTTTTATTATTGATGATGATAGGGCTGCTTTCTACCATTGTGGAAGAATTACATAGAGACTTTAGTGTATTTATTTCTTGAGTTATTTGTCGACTTGTTTATTTAACTCATTATTTTGTAATGTTAAGCATTCCAATTCGTTTTCAGTACTTTCTAGCTTTGCGGTCAACTGGGCTATTGTGTCTTGCATCTCATAATAGTCGTCTGAGCTAGGTAATAATAAGCTGTTCGGGGTGGTGGTGTTAGTTTCGCATGAGGTGTCGTAATCCAGTGATACTCAGTAGTATGTGTGAATCCTGGTTAGGACTCAACGGTTTTCTCTTATTTCTGTGAATCTCAGTGTGTGATGATTGCTTTAAAGACTGCGCTTCTCACTGTTATGTTTGATATGTTATCGTCGGAAGTAGGAACTTTATTAGTAGCCATTTTCTTCGTGCACATACTGCAGCGCCATTTAAACTGTCAAATACCAAGCGGTCACCGGTGACCGCAACCTATTGTTCTATAATTGTGTCTACAAAACCGGTACTCGACGAGTTAATTTTAGATTCTTGGCTCTTTAGTCGATATGTTTGTAAGGGATAGCCATCGCAATCAGGTTCCATTCGGTTTTTACAAACAGAACACATAGCAGTTTGTTTTTCGTTCACAGATTTTTTGCATCTGTAGCAAGTTACTAGTACTGGCATCTTGTGGGTGGTTTTGGTTATTGAAATTAGTCACTAAATTTTGTATCGGGCTTCAAAGTTTTACGTCTATAACTTCACAGTTTATGTATAAAACACTTTGAAAACACTGACACTAAGTTATTACATAATGTTTTATTGTTTTATTCACTTTCATTAACTTTCTGGGCACTATTTCTATATTTTAAGGATATTTAACTACGGAGCGTTTGAATTACGTGCGCTTAGGAACAGCGCCACCTGGCGGATCCCCGCGGAAAGAAGGTGTAAAGGTCCCCAATCCCTGAATCCCCAACGATCCTCAAACTCCTAATCCCCAAAAGGCCGGTAACGCACTTGTAACGCCTCTGGTGTTTCAAGGATCCATGGGCGACGCCGATTGCTTGCCATCAGGTGATCCGTCTGCTCGTTTACCGGCTTATGCCATAAAAAAAAAATATGATTATGTGTGTATTATGTGGATCATTTCAGAGGCGTATGAGGGCCCGAAGCCAACTGTGCAGAGGCTCTTCAGACTACTTTAATCTAAATGCATGCACAAACCGGCGACTATGCCTATATGCACATGCATTATGAAAATGCACCCAAAAATAGTCCCGGGCTAGTGTAAAACTATTGTAGATAATGTAAAAAAGGTAGGGCTATGGATGGGTTGCGGTGGACTGGTAAATTGGGAACTATGTATGACACGGCCCCTGCCAAAACAATGTAAGGCTACACGTAAAATGGTAGGCGGAGACTCGCCAACTCACCGACCGAGCCCCCGAGAATGCTTGCTCGATATAGTTGCTATATGTATAGAGGGACAACGAAAATGTGAGTGGCTGAAGGGTGAAGAAACTACCCCCGCTTTCTACTCAGATCATCTGCTCCTGCCGAAGCCTCCTGCATGCCTCGCCTACTCGCGACGTACGAATAGTTTCTTACCCTCCGAGCAGAATCACTGTATTTCCACTCCACTCTGGACGGCCAATGAAGGCAAGCCAGAGATAGGAGACCTGTTATTCGTCATCGTTCACTCCAGCCAGCTAATTGAGTCAAGCCGGAGAATAAGAAGCGGTGACTTCTCTCTGGAGTATTCGGGACGATGGCGGTCATTTCGCCCCAAGGTGCCCTACGGGCGTATTATTGTTGTTCCTAAAATATTTAGACTAGAAATATACTTACAGGATATAGCAGTAATGAAATAAACGAACAGCATTACCTTCTGTACCTAATACCTACTTGCTAAGATTTGAAATTATTTCATAAGCCTCATATTAATTAAAAACAAATTAAAATGGTTTTATTACAGTGTACAGTAAAACGTATTAATCACGAAACAAATTAGAATACGTAAGTAATTGAAAATTCTGCGTTCCATTTTAATGTTTGAAGGATTTCCGTTATGGTAAAATCCCCTTAGAATCACAAAAATCTTTTGCCTTTAAATGCTCAAAGGGCCTACCCCTTTCACATTACAACATAGCACCTGTTTTTCAGTAGTTTCCAATAACTTATTTATCTATAGATTGGCTTGCTTACCAAAGATTGATCTATGCTCCATACAAATTGTGTATAACCAATTTTGAATGTTGTTAGTAGGGTCTTTCTTGTATCGGTAGTCTCCTTAGGGAGGTGCCGTAACAGGCGTTGCACCGTGGGGGCTCCGGGGTTAGTCCACTAAGAGGGCCCAGTGCCTTCTTTAGTTATGGATGGTGGCCACTGGAGAGGCTTTAGTGAGGTAAAAGGCCCACACTTCCTAGTCTTTCTCGCCAAAAAGTTAGACGCCTTTTGAAGGTTTCCCCCGTCAAGAAAAAAAAGGGTCATTCTTGTTAACTTACTGCTAAATTAAATTTAAACTCGCAGAAAGGGTAACAGTTTGCACAAACGGTGTATGCTTCAGCGTAGTTGCGTTGACATTGTTGAATGTGAGTTGACGAAAACCACAAATGTCCCCCACGATGTCCCAATAATTAGTTCCTATATTCGTAAAAGTTATACGAAGGTTTATTTAGTATCTCTGCGATAGTTAGTTGTCAACTGAATTATAATAATAACCAGCTTATGCTCGCGGCTTTGCTACCGTAGATCCTGAAACTCCTAATCCCCAAAAGGCCGGTAACGCACTTGTAACGCCTCTGGTGTTGACCTGGTGTTAATTGGTCCAGACTTTGAGACTAACCAGATCCGAACTCTATTTCAAACCCTATTTCACTACGGTCGTTTCAGTTTTTTCTCTAATAATTATTTTATAAATTCATTTAAAATCCCCTCCTCTTTTGAAATCGGTTAATTAACTCGTCGAGGTCAACAATAGGTTGCGGTCACCGGTGACCGCTTGGTGTTTGACAGTTTAATGTACTAAAACTTCTAAGCATAACAAGCACTTTTCTGAAAATTGCATCAAAATTGGTTGCGCTAATCGCGAGATTGGATGAACATACATATACACACAGGTCAAACTGAGATCCTCATTTTTTGAAATCTGTTAAAAATAAATGATATTCATCAAAAATATTTTATCCCTTATTAAACTGTCAAATACCAAGCGGTCACCGGTGACCGCAACCTATTGTTCTATAATTGTGTCTGCAAAACCGGTACTCGACGAGTTAATTAAACTTTCCACGCACGAACACGTGAATCACAAATATTTAATTGCTTTAAATAATTAGCCTAAATAAGGCGACTTAAGGTTAAGGTTACTGAGACAGAACATTAGCTAGAATTACCGATTTTCAAAAATGTATCAGTAAATTAACGGTGTCTAATGATTATACCTGAATGGACTTGCATACAATTATTTATACATATTATTCATTTGAGTAATCATGCTATTACAAACCGACGAAAGTCTGAAAAGAGCTGGTAGCGCTTTACCTGAGCTGAAAATCAAACTTGAAACTTGCTCGGCAGTCGTGACTCGTGACTACTCACACCCAAAAAAAGCAAACATTTTAGAGAACTAGATATTTTAGGTCATTAGATTGATTAAAATAAGCAACACGTAAGGATATCCGTACATATTGACAAATATACAGTATGTTACTTTTGGCTTGATTTTGGTTGTCCAAGATTCTCCAGGTGCTTCACATGTGATTTGTGTATATCATGAATTTTTGATAATACCCGAAAGGTATGGTCGAACAACACGTGGTAATCTATAAGTCTCCAATGGCTTCTTAAATGTTCCCAGATATATGTGATTTTAGCAGTAGCCACAAATAAATAACGACGCAAGATTCTCTTGTAAATGACTTTCAGGCGCTGATATAAGAATGCGATGCGGTAAACCCAGCCCTTATTGTTGAAGTATTTACTCTTTTGGATGGGCTTCACTTTATGGCGTGCCATGTACAGTACTTGAAGCATTACATCTAGGATCTTGCGTTTGACCAGAAAGGTGTACCCATCTCTTTCATTATACCAATTTTTTGATTTTATTGTAGCTTGCCTTCTAGACGCATTAAGTGTGGGGTCGTTTTTACCCATAAAGTCAGCAATTTTGGTGATTTTCTTCTTAAATTTTTTTATGTTGATTTTATCTAAGTCAATTGACAGGTTTTTGACGATGACGCCTGGTATATTTTCGTAATCTAATGATGTTTTTTTAGTAAGTGTTGGGAGCATGTCGCTAAGATTTGGAAACTCTTCGATGTCCAAGTCCATGATGTAGATATCGTCGTATGATGAGTTCATTGCGATGATATCACGGAGTGGTTGGGATTTATTGGCATATATACCAGTTTGTACAATGGCTGAAAGAAATAATAACCACCGTTTAGAGCATTGTTATTCATGTAGTATGCCTACTAAAGTAACTATCTTACTATAGAAATATGTTCCCGTGGCGGGGTGGTGTTCGCAGTATCATTAGCCATCTGCAACGTATTCAACATCCTGCCTTGTAGGTGTATTAGGGAGGCACTATGGTGTCATCGAGTGCCTTACTACCTCCGTCGCACAGTAGGGGCTTACCTAGATGGCAGGTGTGCCACCTACTGCGGACACGATGGCGTACATCGGCACCTCATGTCTTGCGGTGTTCCACAGGGCTCAGTATTGGGGCCTCTCCTGTGGAGCATCAGATACGATTGGGTGTTGAGGGGGAAGAATACAACAAAAAAAGAATTTGTGAAATTGGTCGAGCCATTCGCGCGAGATGCCGTGACCAAGGGAAAAAGGGATTAATTTCCACATAACATGGAGATAGAGCAAGCGACAATTTTTTATAGTGTAGTTCTTTACAATTTTGTCTTGGACACCCATCGATATCACAGCCATTACTTTTAGTTCAATTTTGTACCAGATGTTTTCTTCATGAATTGTATTGGAAAAGTGATTTTGTAATGAGGAAATGTCATTGGGCAGTATTTTCCGATATGGTGATAAATAAATAAATCATTGTCAAATTAGCCGTTCTTGTTATTTTCCGGTGACATAATATTATAAATCATACCTATTTCGTGTGAGAGGTAAATATATAACACATGTCGTAGTAGTCGCTACAACTACCGTACAACTTCTAGAAGAACGAAAGAACCTTCTCAGTGCAAGAAGCACCCGAGATAGAAGAAAGAAACTAGTCAACATAAACAAAGAAATTAAGGAAAGCATGAGAAAGGACAGAAAACAAAGGAGAATGGAAGTACTTGAAAAATATATAGTGAAAACAGGTGGAACCAAAAAAGCTCTGAAGGAACTAACACAAACCAAGAACTGGATAGTAAAAATGAAGGACGAACGAGGAAAATGGAAACATCATAGAACTGACATATTAGGGATAGCTACCTCATATTACAGGAATCTTTACAGAAGAAGTACTACGCAAGGTGAAATCGAATTATTAGAAACCTCGAATATTCCAGCCATTCTCCAAGTTGAAGTCAAAAAAGCTATTGAAACACAAAAGAATGACAAAGCACCCGGACCAGATGGCATAAGTAATGAAATTTTAAGATACAGCCAGGAGATTCTGACACCTATTCTCACAGATATGTTCAATGATATTATAGAAACTGAAACGATTCCCCAACAATGGACGGAGTCTGACATCATTCTATTGTACAAGAAAGGGGACAAATATAACATCGGCAATTATCGCCCTATTAGTCTCATGTCGAATATGTATAAGACTTTTGCTAAAATCATCTTAAAACGAATCGAAAAATCTCTGGACGAACACCAACCGATCGAGCAAGCAGGATTTCGCAAAAACTATTCAGTTATCGATCACATCCATGTTGTGCGTCAAGTTATAGATAAATATAACGAATACCAGCTGACATACTACATCGCATTTATAGATTACAGCAAAGCATTCGATTCTCTAACACATGAAAAAATATGGGAGGCACTACTGGAACAAGGAATCGAACAGAAATATATTCGACTAATTAAAAATATATACAGCCACAGCACAGCAAGAATCCAGTTAGAAAAGAAAAGTAACTCTTTCAATGTGGAAAAAGGCGTAAGGCAGGGAGATCCACTATCTCCGAAGCTATTCTCTGCAGTGCTTGAATCAATCTTCAGAAGACTAAATTGGGAACATTTTGGATTAAATATCGATGGCGTATTAATGTCACATTTGAGATTCGCTGATGATGTAGTGCTACTGGCTAAATCAGCAGAAGACTTGAATATAATGATAAAAGAACTTGCATCAGAAAGCGAAAAAGTTGGATTGAAACTGAACCCGGAAAAGACCAGAGTGATGACGAACGGAACGAACCACACTATAAAATTAGGAAACACCGAAATTGACTACACTGATGAGTACGTCTATCTGGGACAGCTGATAAGCCAAAAAGAACCCATGCAAAAAGAAGTAGAGAGAAGAATTACAAGCGGATGGAAGAGATACTGGAGCTTAAGAGAGGCTATGAAAGACAAAACACTTCATATTAATATTAAAAGTAAACTGTTTAACACCTGCGTGCTACCCGTTCTTACATACGGCTGCCAATCATGGACTCTAAACCAGGAAACATTGCACAAACTGGCAACTTGTCAGCACTCAATGGAAAGGAGTATGCTGAACGTTAAAAAGTCTGACAGATTGAAAAACTGCATTATTAGAAGTAGAACAAAAACTACAGATGTAACAATCAAAGTCAAAAGACTTAAGTGGAGATGGGCTGGACACGTGATACGAGGTAACGACAAATGGAGTAAAAGAGTGACACAGTGGTACCCCAGAGAAGGCAAAAGGAAGAGAGGCAGACCGCAGAAAAGATGGGATGATGATATAAGACAAGTGGCAGGGCTAATGTGGAACCGAGTGGCTCTAGAAAGAACAGAATGGAAAAGATTGGAGGAGGCCTTTGCCGACTGGCAAACAGATCTTGAAATGGTAACCAAGGAACAGATATTAGTTTAAGTAGTTTCAGTGAAAGAATAGTTATTTGAACTTATTTGTAGTTTTAGATGTAAATTTATTGTAAACATTTAAGATCTGAATAAAAGGCTAAATTATTA